GGCATTCGCCATGAGATTGGAACATCTGGCATCTGAAACCACCAGAATATTTGGGACCCGAGTCCATCGCAAGAGCCCTGCAGTTCCCGCCACAGGTCCTGAAAAGGACGAAGTGTCTGAAGCGCCTGTGGCGAAGCCCAAGGTGCGCAGCTTGTGTTGGACCCGGGTTCAGGGAGGTCGGACCCGGCGTGGCCGTGCTGCGGTGGTGTCTCGTTACGGTGCAGTAGAGGATTATTTTACATACTTTTTCACGTGGAATCACTGCGAAACGCCCACCCAAGATCAATATTTTTGAATGAGGTGTTGGGGGTGGGCATGAATACCTGCTCCAACGCATTTGACAATATTCGCATGGTCCCTGCCAGGTGACTACAGTGCTACAGTTTTGTGATGTCCTGGCGCAACATCCTGCCAAGTTCAACGTAGGCCAAGAAGATCCTAAAAACTGTTGGATGCACATGTGGGGAATATTGGCCCCAACCATCCACAGTTTTCGCCACTAAAAGTTTTGCAGCGTGGGTGCCAGGCTGCCATCCCCTCCACAAGATGCAATGCTGAACAGTGCCATCCCACTCTCACATGCCTTTCAACCAGTGCACCGGTCGTTTTTCCGGAAGCCCCTTCCCCTGCACAGGCGCCGGCCCGCCAGGGCTCGCTGCCCAAGCCGCCCCCGCCAAAGGCCAAGGCTCTCGGGGCTCGCGGCGATTTCGAGCTCAATAGCAGCACCAATTGGACCAATGTCTGGTGGACCGGGTCAGCTTGATCTTCTCATCACCATCTGAACTGGAAAACGTGGAGAGACCATTTTGGGAGAAGTTTGACCGGGTCAGCTTGATGCTTCTGGAAAAGCATTTGGGGAGAAGCTTTTGGAAAAGCATTTTGTCTCGCCAGAAGCGAACAAATACAGACTCATTTTCATTTGCATCCTACTTTCTGTGCGGGGTGTGTTGACAGCTGTGCTGGAGCTCGTGTAGAGGGAGAGGGGTGGACATGGTCTTGTTGATCCGTTGATCCTTTCTCATTTCAAATCACGGGGATCCAAGTGCATGGAGGATAGACTATTCTCCGGTGTTTCGGGGGTATATAATTATGTTGGAGGATTCTCCAGGGCCACTTGCTGGTAGCACCATCCATGAAGTTCAGCTTCCCTTCCCCGGCCGCCTGCTTCATGGGATGGGGTTTGGTGGGTTTGAGGCGACCATGAGGGACCAATAGATTCAATGGATCCAATTTCCTTCAAGGGGACCCCTTTGATCTATGAAAGCAAGGATGCCGTGTCCTTGCACCGCCGGAGCAGCAGGCAAAGATGCGAGCGAAGGTCCGTGCTGCCGCTTGGGCGAATCGGCACCCACCGGAGGGAGCCATGCAGCTACAGCTGTGGCATACCGTTTCCTTTGGTTCAAGCGGTGCGAGTTGGTGCGTGGGGTTTGCATTCAACATAAGGGGTGCCAAGCACTTGATGCTTAAAGGTCAACATCCAGAATGATTCATTCTGAACTCTGGTTCACGTTGATTTGTTTCGAAGGATCGAACGAACGCCGGACTCTGCAAGCATCCGACCACCGAGACGGGTTGGCCGCTTGCAGCGCAGGAGTTGGTTTTGTCAAGTGATGCGACCGCGTCCAAACCGCTGCAGGTGAGCGAAGAGGATGTCCGAGATGCTGACGTCCAGGAGGCAGCAGAGAAAGTCTTCCAAAGAGTCCTTGTTGAATCAAGTGGATGGACTGCAGTTTTGCTCATGAATTCCCATCACCACTTTGGTGACTTGTTGGGGTCCAGATCTTTGATCCAGTGAAGGCTCGGGGGTAGGATTCCAGTGGTCTAGTGACACAAGAGCTCCTCTGGCATGCTGAGCCTTGTGCTTTGCATGTCGCCACGTATCGCCCATTTGTCCGTTCGACTTAGAATCATTAGAGGTTGGTCGCTTCGACCCGATCCCCGCACCGACCCGAAGGTCGCTTGGACCCGCCTCCCGATGGTCAGGATTCACAGTCTCGACTGGTGAATCTGCATTGGCGTGCATCTCATGCGCCTCCAGAGGCTGGAAGCAGCGCATGCATGGTCCAAACGCACTCGCCGACGGTCGTTGGTTTGGGGCGACGAAGAGGGTGTTCCTCGGTGAACTTCTGGTTTCGCCCGAAGAGTGAGAACACGGTGAACGCGAGGATTTTGCCCTGGGTATCACATGGTATCACTCATTTCACCACGATGTGTTTAGACCTTCCGAGGCTCACTCATGTTTACTGCTCGGTATTATTGCTGGGTATATCGCATGATATCACTAACAATCACACACACATATATATTTATATATATATATTATATTATATTATATTGTATATATATATATTTGTCATAATTATCCCTGCGTGTCCTTCAAGTCCCTCATCTCCATGTTTCAAGATGAGAAGTTGAATGGAAGATATTGGCCATTCCGGGGCAAGCCCTGCTTAACGCACCAGAAGATTCCTGGGTGATCCACGCTGTTTGCATGCGGGGTGAGCATGAAAACGGGCCGCGCTCAAAGAACTGGTGGGCCACGGCAGTTCTTTGACTAACAGGCCGGTTTCAGCTGTCATCCGCAGGAAACAGAGATCTTTGTGGAGAAGGATGGGCACCTTTTCTGCAGCAGACTTTGTTCTCATCCCGGAATAACCTGAGAAATGCCCGTGAATGCATGGGCCAAACTCTGTTCTCATGGAGGTATATTGTCCATCTCGGGAAGACACGGGAGTTTATGGCTTGCTGTCGTCATGGCTTAGGTATTTGCAGAGCATGTCCAGCATGATGGAAAGGCCCGAGATTCAGCGATGATGACGTTGGCCGTGCTTGTGATGCATGTGCAAACCACCACGCCCATATCCAAATGCACCATTTTGCCCTTCCTCACCCCAATAGCTGCGGACTCTTCCAAGAGTTGAATGCTCTGACGTCCTACACGCCAGGTGGGACCTCGTTCGGGCCGACAGGATGAGGCCCAGCCGATGCTGAAATGTGCTGAAGCTCATGTGACATTTGGGAGACACCGCCCCAACATAACTTATATGATGAACCGGTCAAAAACATGTTTACACCCAGACAAAGCAATTCGTAGCGCGATGGGTTGGATAGCAGGTGGTCTCCCCACATGTTGGTTTACACGTTGGCAAGTCCAATGACTTGGATGTACTTGGACACCAGTGCTTGGAGTCTAGCTGCTGACATGCTCCCACCGATGGGAAGAGGACCATCTTCAGTATTTGTTTTCCGCAACGTTTGATGCTTGCAGGGGGTCTCAATATTTGTTCCCCCCACGCCAGACTGAAGACCAACACCATGGACAGTTGTTGCGTTGCAAAAACGCACGAGGCAAAGCATCCAAAGCTTTGAAGATCGGGCAGGCGCCGCAGAGGCGAGGGATGTATTCTTCCGAATTCGCGGAAGAGTCCGGAACCGAATTGCTGGGTCAGGGGACAAGTTGAGCCTGGAAAAGCTGCAGAGGTCTTGTTATATCTTGTTGGGGGTTCTTCCTGCGAAGCACCAACGTGCAAGTGGAGACTGCAGAGATCTGGCATATCTTCAACCTCTTGAACGCACCACTCTACATTCTAAGTACATACATATACAAATATGTCAAGGCCGATGGGAGATGATGGGAGTATGTGCCGGACTAGTTCTCATGGATCATTTTGGGACGCTGAAGCGATTCTTGATGTATACTCCTATGGGGGTGCGAAATCCACCACCTCAACTACGAGTCACCATAGCTGTAGCTAGTCACCATAGCGGTAGCTAACCTCTACGGCTTGCCGATCGATCGTGCAACCCGGCTGTGAACGGCTGTTGATCGCCTCCAGTGCTTGGTAGAACTGAGATTGGACCAGTCTGGAAATGCCGGCATCAATGTGACGCAGTACATACTTCTCTTAATGTGGTTTTGCTTATAAGATCAATTTTTGTAAATTTCCATGTGGTTAATTCATGTTAAATCCCCTTCAGGCTTCAGGTGAATACATTTTTGTTACTGGTTCCAGGTTTCTTAAGCAAATCCAAGTGAGTGAGTATACATCATTAACCGTCTCTATAATTAGTTATTTGATCCTTTCTAATTAGAGTTTTGCAGGGATCCATCAATACTGTACACTCTACTTATACATCTCTTATGCCATCAAACCTGTACCCAGACCATCCAAGCGTGCAAGGGCGTGCGTTGAACCCACTAGCCCCCAAGTAGTCCGATTTCGTTTGCCTAGTTGAACACCTTGACAAATCACCAGGACCATATAGTACCATCCAAGTTTGAACATACCAGCACCCTAACAGGTCTCCTCTAAAGGCTTTTGTAGACTTAAAAGGCGCAGGCGGTGACCTGTGAAGTCGGGTCCTGGTACGTGGTTGAAACATTTGGTTCTCTTCCGCACTTCTGCACTGTCGAACCTTCCAGGCTGAGCGCTACGACTCCACGGCCCCGGGCCGCCGCCGTCGGAAGACGGTGACCCGGCAGCTGTGAGACTGGACCGAAGCCCTTTGAAAGCGAATTGGTTTAATTATAATAGCTTCTTGTTACTACTAGGAAGGCACTTGTTACTACTAGCGTGGCACTTGTTTCTACTAGCGAATGGTTTCTGCATGTTTTCACCCTCGTTCACCATGTGTTCAATGTTCATCGAAGGGGTCCCCAGAGTTTGAACTTGGTTTAGCTGTCTTGGGCGACTGGGAGACTCAAGTGCTTGAAGAAGAACATGAAGAAGATGAAAGTCGAGTATCCCCCTATAGGCCGTCTGGCTCAAGAACTGGCCACCTTTGGGTCGAGAACCCAAAGCCGATCGAAGCCCATGGAGCTCGCGTTCGTGGCCCCGGTCTCATGGAGCACCAGCCCTGTGGCGCCTCCCACGGGCATTGCTGCGCCCAGTGTCCAGCAGCCGGGTGCCCGCGGGGCAGCCACCGTGGCTGTGGGCGCAGCACTGGCAGCCGTGGTGGCAGCCAAGCGCACGGGGCGCTCGGCAAGGCGAGCACAGGAGATGGCCACATTGCCAAAGCAGACCGGGCCAAGCGGAAAGTACGTTTTGTTTTTTTTTTTGGGGGGGGGGATGGACAGAACTTCAAGACTTGGATTCACCAGTGATCTCTTTTTGCAATGTGTGGATGATTGATGATGATTGTGTTTCCTTTCTTCCCAGTCTTCGAAGGGTGCCCATTTGAGAGTCAGCTTTTGTAGGGGCTTGCTTGGACCGGTCGGTTGTTGGATGTTGTTGGGATGGGTTGGATGGGTGACTGGCCCAGGCACATGCAGCCCGTGGATCCGGCCAGCTATCCCAACTACAAGCCAGGACCATCTGGTGTGCCCATGATGCCTCAAGTGGTGGGCGACTGGGCAACCCCTGTACCAGGAAGTTACAAGGCCTGCTTGACCATGGTGGGTCCTGATGTGGAGACTGGCAGTGAAGTGGGCAAGCCTTGGGACCCCCTTGGCTTCAGCAAGCTCTATGACCGCAATTTTGACTTCAACGACAACATGACATACCCACATGTGCAGTGGCTTCGGGAATCCGAGCTCAAGCATGGCAGATGCGCAATGCTAGCAATTGTCGGAATCTTTGCACAACAGTCATTCCACATTGATGGATACCCAGAGGCACCATGGTACGAGGCCTTGCAGAAGTGCTATGACAATCCCCAGGGCATTGTGGGCTTTGGCATTGCCCAAATCTCCGCCTTTGCCATGGTGATTGAGGGCAAGTTCTTCCCCAACGATGCCTGGATTGGCCAGATGGACCGTGAACCTGGTGATCTTGGTTTTGATCCTTTGAAGCTTGCTAAGGATGAGGCAACCATGAAGAGCATGCAGCTCAAGGAGTTGAAGAACGGCCGACTGGCCATGATGGCCTTCTTGTCCATGTTCCTTGGCCACTTCAATGCTGGCAGCGTGCCTGGAGTCTCCGCCTTGCCCCGGGAGTCGGGCAAGGCACAGGGCGCCGCCTTCTGTGGTGCTACCCCTGCCAGCTCTGAGGTGGGGATGTCCAAGACGGCCGCTCGATATACGACTCAAACCATTCTCCCTTCCTTGGCCTGGATCAAGACCGGAGTGAGGGCCTCTGAACTGCAGCCCACTGAGTTGAAGGCATTGACCTTGGCGGGGAATGATGTGTTGATTGGCAAGACTGAGGCTGGTGCTCTCTTCTGTGTTGGCAACTTGTGCCCTCACATTGGCACCCCGATGAGTGAGGGTGCGGATGTCATTGGTGATGTGATTGTGTGCCCCTTGCATGGCTCTTCCTTCAAGGTGACCACTGGGGAGCTTATCGACTGGTGTGTTTCCCCACCCATCATCGGACCCTTGACCGGCTTAATCGTTGACAAGAAGAACCTCTTGATCTTCGAGTGCCGCCAGGGTGGCTTCTTGGGATCAGGGGAAGTGGAGGTCTTAGTGGACACCAACGCGAAGAAGGCCTATGAGGCAAACTACTGGAAGGGCTTGCTAGATGCCCAGGGCAAGGATGATGGCACTTACTACTGAGCACCGGCAACCGGGTAGTTCAGTCTCAAGTTCGCCAGCGGTGTGATGTGCTTTTTGTCTCTCACATTCTGAACAGCGCTGTGCCAAAATAACTGTGCTCCGTTCCGGGTCCTGCACTTCATGAAGTGTGCACAGCACACAGGAGCAAAACATAGTAATAAGATACAATAAGATTAAACAGATGTACAATGACGAATCCGCTCTTAAACGCTCACTACCTTTTATCTAGGGCATTCCACCCCCGATCAAAAAGAAAGGGAAACAGAACACCACGATCCACGTCTCCGCGTTTTGCATGGCGGCTCCGGATGGGCGGATCCAGGTCTTCAACGCCGAGTCCACGAGCGGCGCGGCGCCCATTCCGGAGCTTCCCAGCCACCAGCTGGAGGAGTTCTTCCAAGCAAGGGCTGCCACGTCGCTTGGGGTCGAAATTGGAAAAAGGAGTGGGAGTGAAGGAGTGGGCCTACGGGAGACGAGATGAGACAAGAATGGTGCTGATATATGTGCTGCCAAGTGTGCTGCCGAAGTCGGATACTTGAGTATCAGTATCATTGATTATCATGGGGTCTTGGAACTATATATATATATAACTTGATGAAGATGCATGCGTTTGTTGTGGTCGCCGGCCTTTTTGTTACCATATGTTTTTTCTAACATTTTGTTCAATGTCTTCCATTTCCTCCTCCACTTTGTCTCCATTTTTCTCTCAGCGTTAGGATAAGGATGCCCAAACCATATGGTGCGAGGTTTGAGGTTGGATCACTTCGCAAGGTTTCGGAAAACATCGGAAAACCATGGCTGGAGTGCGTGTGCTGGTTGGAGCGCGTGTGGAAAACGTCACTTCAATTCGATTTCCGAAGACATCACGACTTATATAACTTCATGACCGATTTAACAAGAACAAGCCACGACCCACATCCCAGATGGCTGTTTTGTCACAGATATGACATGATATGATATACTGAATGTTCCGTCGACCTGACATAGCTCTGGGTCTCCTGACCAGCAGACATGCAGGCCACACAGTACAGTAGGTGCAGAATAGACGGAACACACCCACACGATTTGGTATGAGTCACAGTGAATAAGATCGCAGCCCTAGTCTGTGTGCAATTGTCCAACCCCCTCTGAGACTCCAAAGAAGCCATCACCAGAACAGTTGAACATGGGGTATGGCGGCGTCTGAACAGTTGTGGCTGTGACTACCTCCAGGTTCGACATTGGAGCACGTGCCTCCTGCGCCAGCAATGTCAGCTCCTTGATCGTGACCTCGGCCGCGCTTGAGTATCTGACCTGGACCCGTCGGAGACGCTTGAGACCCCTAGAGGCCAGGGTATCCGACCCAACTACACAAAGAAAAGACCTGGCCCATAGCAATTTGCCACGATTCGATGCTTCTTTTTGCTCGACATGATGTCCAACAAAAAAGGTTCCAAGTGAAATGGTGGCTGTGGATGGATGATTTGGAATATCTTAGAATCATTTGCACCACATGGAACCTGATGGCATGGACCTGCGAGGAAGACTACTTTCCTTTAACACCGAGTGGTTTTGCAGGTTCTATGTGAATCTTCCGGGGTGTATATAGAACAAACTACCAGGCCCTTGATCATTCGCATCTAGGCCATTCGCATCTCCCAGGCCCTTTGAACAATTCACCAGTAGGTCCAGCAGGTAGAACCAGGTGGGACCTGGAGAGGGATTCAGAGGTGCCCTCTCAAGTACCATGATCCAAAAGCTTCAGAGGGATCCGGGGGAACAACTCAAAATGCGCGTGTTCCGATTCCAGAAGCAAGGCCGTCCCAAGCGATCCACCCTCATGCCAAGGCCCCCAGACCCGGTCGGCCACCGGACCGGGCAACAACATGGGCTCACTGTTTGCCTGACCTGCTTGGTTCAGTGATGGGAAGGGGAGGACCCCCACCAAGTCCGGTCTAGGTCGGTCAGACCAGCGCGTGACTGGGCACCTGACTGGGCCCACTAGGTGGACAGCACCCACCAGCGGATCTTGGATCTCATGGTGCGCAGCGAAGCCATGCAACGTCAGCGCGAGAGTGGGCAGATCCGGACGGCACCTTGGTGGGAGTCCGGTGGAGGTCTTTTTTCTTCGCGTGAGGCACCATACGGTGGGTGGAAGTTGGGACTTTGGTGGATCCACAGGGTGAGAAGTGGGTGGAGAAGTTCGCGTGTTCCATACTGGGTGGTACTTTCATGTAATCCCGAGTAATTACCTATTGAAAGACGGACCCCAATTTGAAAGAGTCATGTCGGAACCCCCTAAATACGGTTTATATATGTGTTTTTTAGATTACCGCCCTTCAAAACCGGTACTAAACTACCGACATGGCCGATTTTGGTGTAGTTGTTTTAAATAGGTTCCAAAAACAACCGTAACTGCCCACCTCTGTCCACCCTGTCTATCCACCATGACACGCCGCGTTTACACCAGCAGGTTGTCCTTCCCCCAATGGCACGGACTCACGCAAACGCACGTGCCACCGACGTCACGCAAAACCGCATGGCACAGCGACATCACCTTTCGAAAGCTTTAGTTGTTCGTCTAATGAAGAATCACTATTCTAATGAAGTTTATGTAGGGGAAAAGGAAGACCCTTCGATCTGGAGGTTTTACGAATTTTTGATACGAGTTTATATAGTAGAGGATTTTAATTGATTTATATAAAATTTTCCTCGGTTACTTGTTTGTTTTGAAGCTCTTCCCAGGTGACCCTATTTTGGACCACCCTGATTTCAGGGACCCCCTATTAAAAAGATGCGACTCAGGTTTTCGTCATAGGTAGGTAGGGGGGGCCGCGTGTTTTTTAATAGGTGGATGGGCTGAATTTCAGATTACTTATTATATATAGCATTAATCAATGTTAAACACATTAGTTGTATTTTCCACCAGTACTTGGCATGATTTTCACCCACTGTTTGCGATGGCTTCGTTTTCAACATGTTGAAGCCACCCATGCCTTGCATGTGACCCATGCCTCGTTCGCCCCTTGTCCCAGGATGCGGTGGAGCACGCGGTGACGGAGCTGCTGTCGATGCTGCATCGCTGCGACTTCTCCCGGCTCACCCATTCCATCATCAACGCTGCTTGGAAGTCCGGGGAAAGTTCGATGGAAACGGAAGAGAAAAGGGTCGATCGCGGACGATGATAGCAGGGAACCAGAAGATCAAGGTGGTTTGTTCGACTCTTGGAAATGGGGGGCCTCCCTAGTTATTCTGGGTGAAGGAGTCTTTGGGTGTGCCTTCTGCGTTTGAACGTCGGGTATTGGCACGGTGAGGTTCTTGGGACTCCGGCATCTCCGCGTTTGCGTGGCAATAGACGCAGCCGCAGCTCTGAGCATCGCATGGGTTTCCCGAGCCTTCTTTTGCTCATCATGTGATGTTATCAATGTGGTCTGCACCGCAAAAGGTCACCACACCTGGCCTTTCCACCAATTCTCTATTCTGAGAAAGCCCAATGCAGCCCTCACGAAAAAACCATTCACCCCACAAGTCCATACAAGTCCCACAAGCATTGTGCCAAATGAGGAGATAGTGTAGATTCGTAGATCGAGGAAGGTCCTCTCCTTCCACTCCACAGTGCTCTTGGAAAATTGTCCAAAGAGGGTCATGTGGAGTCATGAGGGGAGTCCATCCCTCTTGTCTCAAAGAAAAAGGTTCGACTCAACACGCCCGGCTCATCACGGATGGTCAGGGATGGTTGTAAGCTGCAAGCTGCTGCGGTCTTCAGCGCTTGGGGCGCGCCGCCCAGCCGAGGATATGCGGAAAGTCGTGGTCTCCCACCTCGAAAGCGGTGCGACGAACGTCCTTTCCTTCGTGGAGACGCGTGGCGTGGACGCCCTGACCAGGAGCGCTTCACGTCCACACGGAGCATGTGTTTTTTCCTTTTTTTTTTTCTTTGTATGTGCCCGCTGAAGTTTGGCATGGTTTCTGGATGCTTCATTGGGCTTGCCAGATTGCCTTCTTACAGTGGTGGTAACTATGTGTTGGACATCATATGCAAGAAGAGAGCTTGGACATGTTGATTCACATGTCCTCAAGCGCCCTGGCCATGAATTTGCCCACGACCCGCCAGGATGGAACATCCTCATTTGCACCGATTGCTTTATGGTTTGTGTAGCATCCCTGCCATCCCTACGAGGCGACCGCCGAGTTGTTGGTGATTTGGAAACGTTTTGGACCCTCCATTTATCTTAATCTACCCCGCTGCAGACCAACATGGACCCTTAAAACCACTAGTCTGTAGAGGGAAAGCAGTTTTTCGGGGTGCTATTCTCAGGGTCCACATACGTTGGTTCGGAGGTGCATCCATCTAGTCTATTCCAATCTATTATTCTTTGGATCCTGAACTGGATGAGAATTATAGAGATGTGCAACAACACTTGACCCTGGTTCCTGATTTTTTGTTTACATATTTTTTGGTTATACTTGTCCTCCTTGACTTCCGGATGACTAGCGGAGGCCACCCTTCCCGTTGCAATAAATCTGTGCACCCGAGCCGGTAGGATTATTTGGACACCTGTGACAACTACTGGTGGATGCCGGTGGTATAACCGGGTTACTTTTGAGTGAGGACTAGACCTGTCGGTCCGTCCGGCTCACACCGCGGTGCCATCGAAATTGATCGAACACAGGCCAAAAACATCCAAAAACACCCGGCCAAATCCTGAGCAACGCTTTTCCCGCAAAGATGCTGGACGGTCCCAAAGCCACTAAACGACATTTAGATGTTTGGCAGTTTTTAGGCTATATGACGGCTGATCGACATCCCTGTGCTCATCAGACCCCCTGTCAGGAACACGCTGGCCTCGTTCCGCTCACTGACCCACTAGACTGGGGTCGGATGTCAAAAAGCATAACCCATATGGTTTGTTGGCCGTGCTTTCTTGTGGTCTCATAGTTGGAACACATTGGGCCTCATGGCAACAATGCAGATCCGCCTTTCAAGCCCTCTCGGAGGATTGGAACCTGTCGCGACGATCGCG